TAGAAATGACTTAAAGAAAATGGGAGGATGTGCATAGGTTGCATGCAAATATTATGCCATTTGATATAAGGGACTTGAGCATTCTATGATTTTACTATCCATAGTGCATCTTGGAACCAATCTACGTGGATACTGAAGGACCACTGTATACCTTACTTTGTTTCTTACAACCAAATAAATTTCAGATGACTCAATAATGGAGCATACAAAGTATATAGGACAGCATGGGTACTTTTTAAAAATAATCTTGGAGTTAGGAAGTTCCTTTTAAGCACTAATCAAAATGCATAAGCAGTAAAGTTTGATTTTAAGAGATAAATACATGAATATAATATTGAAAAAATTTCAAACACAGAAATCCAGTAAAAATGATAGATGGAAGAAAAATATTTGCAATATATATGATAAAAGGCATATTTTATTATCTTAGCACTCACAAGAAAAAGACAACTAACACTATGAAAAATGAGCAAGATACGTAAATGGACATTCACAGCAAGTAAAGTAGAAATTGCTAATAAGTATATGAAAAGATACTCAAACTCATTTACAATTAAATAAATTAAAATTCAAAGGAAAAAATAATAAGCCACTTTTACCTTTAAGTTTGCCCAGTTTTTAAGGAGTTGGTAATACTAATCATTGATGAAAGTGTGGGTGAGGAAGCATTCTCAGTGTTGCTGAGTGTGTAAATGAATGTATCCTATTTTGGTTTCAGTTTAGCAATAGTTATTAAGATTTTAAAGGCACACATTACTGATCAAGGAATTTTACTTTCAGGAATGTATCCTATAGATATGCTGCCAGAAGCACACAAATATATATGAACAATTCTATTATTCCTCAACAGTAGAATGGATTTTAAAATTGTGATATATTCACATAATGGAATAGTATGAGGCAGTTAGTGAACTACAGCTCTTTCTGGATATTATTAGTGTAACTGAATTATAAAAAGAAGCAAGCCTTAGAAAAGTATATGTATGTTTAAAAATACTTTAGCTACACCTACATTTTATAAAGCTCAAAAATAGGTATAGCTAAATAATGTATTTTTAAACATACATACATATGTCATAAACGTATAACAATAAATAAGATAAATACAAAAATTAGAACAATAGTAACCACTGGTGGGGGTGAGGGGTACAGAGTGAACAAATATGGAAGTGGGATAAATGAAAAATACATAAGTAAGTGTAGCTCTTGGGTTGAGTTGAGTTGAGTGATAGATTCCTAAATGTTTATCTTACTGTTATGCTCCACAACTTACACACAGTGTTTTGTAAACATCAAGTGTTATATTAAAAATAACAAAAATATATTTTTTTACATTAGAAAAGATAATAACATATGCCAAACCTATATGTGGACACAGAACGCTTAGGCAAATCACAACTGGTGGCTTCTTGCTTGCCTAGCCAGAGCTTTGTTAACTTTGACAGTTGTTTAGAAACTTTAGTCTTGCCTTTTACAGTTATTGTCTAGTCCAGTAAATGTATATCTTTTACATTTTCCAACTCAAATTGATATCATCTTGAGTTTCTAATAGGTTAGCAGGTGATCTAGAACCTCCCTTTTTGGTGTCTTACGTTTTCCCTTTATTTTCTAATCCCTGTAACTTAAGTATTACAATAGACTGATGAAGTTTACATAAACACTTAAGTAGGGAGAGTCTAGAGTCTGATTTGTCTATTTTTTTTTTTTTTCCTATTTCCCTTTGAGCACATCTAATCTCAATTGTCCAAGAGAAGATACTGGCAATCTGCTAATTTACTGTGGCAGACTCTATTTTCAGAAAATGGACATATCTCTTTTATTCCTCATGCTCTTCTTAGAGTGTGCCATTCCCTCATTAAGAGGTGAAGTCTGATTGATCAGGGGAAAACCACACACCGGGGCCTATCATGGGGAGGGGGGAGGGGGGAGGGATTGCATTGGGAGTTATACCTGATGTAAATGACGAGTTGATGGGTGCAGCACACCAACATGGCACAAGTATACATATGTAACAAACCTGCACGTTATGCACATGTACCCTACAACTTAAAGTATAATAATAATAAATAAATTAAAAAAAAAAAAAAAAGAGGTGAAGTCTGTACTCTCACCCCTTGAAACTGAGTGGACTTTTGTTACTTCTTGACTAAAGCAGTGGGGAAGCCCAGGACACACAGAAAGACCATGTGTAGGTATCTCAGTCAATAGCCAATATCAGCTGACTGGCATGTGAGTGAGCAAGCTCCATCTACCTCCTGACCAAAACAGCATGAGAGACTCTAAGTGAGAATAGCCCAGTTGAAATCAATCACCCCTAGAGAGGTAATTACAAATGATTGTTGTTGCTTTATGCTTGTAAGTTTAGGGTACTGTGTTATGCAACAACAGATGACTAGGACATCTGGGTTACAGTACAAGCAATTATGGATATAGGCAGCTACGCTTATGCACGGGGACAGTCCTACATACTCAGTGCTAAGCAGAGGTAGAGGCATCAAGCATAGATCCCAGAGACATTGCACTTCCTGGTTCTCAGCCCTGTCAGTTGTTTATACAGCCGGACCTTGAGAAACCTGCCAAATAGGAGTTAGAAGTTATTTGACCATCAAACTCCTAACAGACCCCTGCCTACTGTCCTTCATTTTCCTGGTTATTTGTAAACACAGAATTTGGCTAGATTTCATATTAAACCCTTGAAACATGAAAGGACAGCCCTTTACTGGCAAATAAGGTTATTGGTACATTCACCCCCAAGATGGCCTCCTAATCTATTGATAGGAAGTTCAGATTGCTACAATACAAAGTTCTCTCTATCTTTTTTCTGTGTTGATAAAGCTGTCCTAATTTTCTCTGCTCAAAGGAGCTTTATATCTACTTCCTGTCTAGGGGAGGGAGCCTCTTTATGCCTCCCTGCAGATTTGTGTCTTTAATGATAACTAGGGTAACAGTTTGGCCCCTCTCTCACTAAAGCAGATAAAGAAAACCACATGTTTAATCAACAGAATGACACAAAAATGAATGATCCAATCATAATTCGACCCCCCAAGATAGTGCAGGTTTTAGTGCATATGAAGGTACTACTCAGCTGCAAACAATAAGGAAAAATTTGGGATGTTAACTTTATCAGTGATGATTGAATTATAAATATTGGAGGTTTCTCCAGTTTGGCCAATATTTTCTTATGTCTATGAACTAATAGGAGTAAAAGCAAATGCTATTACCATTCTTATATTTGCTATAAACATCTTGATTTTATAATTTTTTAGATCTAAAACTTACCACAAACTGAGTGTGGTGTCTCATGCCTGTAATCCCAGTGCTTTGAGAGGCTGAGGCAGGAGGATCACTTGAGGCCAGGAGTTTGAGACCAGACTGTGTAGTATAATGAGACCCCCTTTCTAATTTTTTTTTAAATTAGCTGAGTATGGTGGCACACACCTGTAGTCCTAGCTACTCAGAAGGCCAAGACAGGAGGATAGCTTGAGCCCAGGAGGTTGAGACTGTAGTGAGCTATGATTGCTCCACTGCACTCCAGCCTGGGCAACCGAGCAGGAATTTGTCCCTAAAAATTATTTCTTTTAAGTTATGACAAATACGAAATATAAAACACAAATGAAAAAAGTCAGTATAAGGAGCATTTTTCAAGTTTATTAAGATATTAATGCAGCTACCTTATTTTTGGCCAAGTACAGAAAAATTAACTTGGAGGAGAATTGGCAGAATTCGTGATGAGATAGACATAAAATTTAAAAAAAAAATGGAATAAAGTACCGAGGGTTGTGGCAGGAAAACCAGTGTGGGGATAACCCCAGATTTGGCTCATGAAACCCAGTGTATGTAACCATTTGCCTGATGATCCCTTGGGATGAAGTCCTGGTTCATGTTTTTGGAGCACTAAAGTGGCCTCCTGGCCTTCTAGAGAGATTTCTATTGTCTAATGAGTTTTGATCTTCCATATCTGAATCCTACAGGACAAAAACTGGCCAAAATTGAGGGTTTTTTAGTTCAGAGAAGAAGAAAAAAAGCACAGCTTATAATACTGAACAAGGTTTTTAACGATAGAAAGAGCTGCAGGGTTTCCTGGAATCCAAGACAGTTCTCTTAGCTAGAGCTCGCTTGGGCTTCGTAACCATGGTTTTCCAAGGCTCAACTGTATAAAAATAGAATATTTATTTAAAAAATAAAACATGACAAATAAGCCACTGCTATTTCTACTTGCAGTGAAAACTGCCTCAAGTCTGCCAAAGTACAAGTTCATATAATCTGGTAAATGTGCCGCACACATAACGAGGTTCCCTGGTACTGGCAGTCTGCTTCCTCTTAGTCACAGGGTGACTCTTAAGAGTGCTCAGTGAATGACGCCGAGAAACCCTGAAACCCTGAAAGCTGTTCATCAGAGAGCCTTTCTTTGGCATCCAAAGGTCCTCCTCAAGCTGGAGGAAATATCCAGTATCCAAAGAGCCCCCTGTAACTGTCCTTCGACCTCATCCCTAGACTGGTCCTACAGCAGATGGAAGGACCACATTCCGATGCCTTTTCTTCGTAATCTTGATCTGTGAATACTTGTGATCAAGGGGTCACATCTTTGACCTCTACCTCAATTTTTCAGTTGAGCCACAGATTTGCAGGAAGAGAAGTAAGTGATTTGGAAAGAGACTTCAATGTTTAGCAGAGGGAGCTTTATAAGAAATAAAATACATGCATGAGGGTTTTTAAAATCATTGTTAAAGAGCAAATTATATTAAGCTGGAAAGAATCCTGATGTCTATGAATATTTGGGTTTTCCTTGATTTATTACTTTCAAGGATCTCCTGTTAATCCTAAAGAACTAAAATTTATCAGGATTAAAGAGTGCCCTGATTAACATGATAATAAGGAATGTGGCTCTGCCACTTATCAGCTATGCATGCTCCCTTGTCTATATTCTTATCTTCAGACAATCCATAGTCCACAGAGACACGGTTTAGAAAGCTTCATAAAGAATGTTTACAGTTACTTACCATGCTGCACACATCACAAACAACTTTTCCTGTCAAGAAATGGTCTCTGATGTCTAACACAGAATTTATTTTTTGCAACCTCATCTGATTTTCTTTCATATCATGCACTGAGGAGCTGAAGCACAACCATGCACCAATTTCTTATAAATACTTTTTGTAGATTTTTAATTTTAAAAGCACTAAAGAAGCTTACCTTTGAAATTCACCCAGTAGTAAATCATTTTGTGATGTGGATTCATTTGCTTTACTTCCAACAAATTGTACTTTTGAAGCAATTCCATCATTACATTTCTAAATTTATCTTTTTTACAATGAACCTATTATGTTATTATATAGTGATTACTGATAAGGTAAAGGCTACTAGAAAAGTTTTATTACCAGGGTATTTTTCAATTACTTGTTAATAATGTCATACTTTCTTCTAGTGTTATAATTCCAATGTTAAAATTTAGCCCAATTATTTAGTTGTTTGTTGCTATCACAGACCTAGACATCATAAAAAGTCAAAGATTAAAAACCTTTATACCTTCTCTTTGAAAAGAAACTCATTATAATGCTCCAGTATTCTACTTTCTAATAGACAATTTGTATGAAGGAGCAATGACTCATAATGATTCTACCAGAAGATATTTGTCCGCTATAGTGGAGTGGCCAACCTGGGGTCATAAAAAGAGGGAATACGTGGTCCCTGCTTAGCTATAGAGGGGACGGTTTTATAATGCAGTTTTGTGTAGTGGAAGGAACAATGGACACAGGGTCAAAAGATTTGAATTCCAATCTTGATTTAATCCTTTGACATCTGTCTGTCTAAAAATAATTACCTAACTAGAGCTGTTCTTCAGTTTTTGCATCTAGAGAGAAACAGTTCATCGTTGTCCTCCCTGCTCCATTGGATGTTAATAAGATTAAATAATGTATGCAAAAATATTTTGTAATCACAATTTCACTGTAAGGGGCTTACAGTATAAAAATTTAAAAACCAGTAAACAGTTCTATGCCACCTGCATGTGCAGAGACATATAGGCCCCAGAGAGAGAGAGTAAGGA